TGAACAAATGTGGCTGGATCTGCTTCGGTGCACCCTCAATTGACCTGAAATTAACGCTCCAATCTGCTAACCTAACAAGACTCCGAAGTGTCGTTGACCTAGGCTTGAGGTACTCTAGTGACTTGACATTCTCAGAGCAAGTAGCATCACAGACTAGAAAATCGAGGATGCTCTTAGGATGCATACTCAGGAACTTTCACGACAATGAAGCCAAGCTAATTCTGTACAAAACATGTGTCAGACCACTACTAGAATACTGTCCATTTATTATAAGCAGCACTCGCACACGCGACAAGCTAAGGATGGAAAGTATCCAACGATATTTTACCTCAAAACTGCTTGGCTACGATTGTAAGAAAGACTACATCTCACGGTGCATGATCCTAAAACTCGACCCACTTTGGACAAGGCGACTTATTATAAACCTAATATTCTTCTTTAAGGTCCTTCACAAAATATCATTCTCAGGTAACAGGGACATACAATTCGCACAGGAAGGTTCTTACGATCTGCGTAACCAAACTTCCACAGTGACAACTCATTCTTTTAAGTCAACACTCCGTGAAAACTTCTTCACAGTCATGTATTCTAAAATATGGAATAGCCTACCCCTAGATATCAGAACTTGCTCTTCGGTTACAAGCTTCAAACGCTCTCTATACAGACTGTTTCACTCTACTGATTATATTAATAAACTATTTACTCCTAGAACGAATCAACCACTAATCTACTACAGCACCTAAAAGACGCACTTCAACACCCTTAGCAATCTTTAAACTATAAATAAACTAGCAGCATGGATGCATAAAGACATAGTACGGAACATACAGGATTAGTTTACCCTTAGAAATAGGACCTATCCCTCATTGTAACCTTCAAACGCTTGCTATATAAACTGTTTTATCCCAAAGACTATCCCTACCAGAACCCATTCTAAAACGCATCAGTCATTAGAACACTAAAACGCTCAGACTCATTAATACACATTATGACATTAAATAAACTCTAAGACTTCGCATAAATACGTGAAAACAAATACAATATAGAAAAATGTTTACTTAAGTATAATATACAATTAAGATAAACATTTATAAATGCATAATATACAAATGTCTTTTTTTATCACGTCTCATAAACCGTTAATGCCCAGCTCTCGCTACGCCCGGGCCCAGCTGTTCTTCGAAGATTTCAGAAACGCTTTGTTATAACGGACGAAAATCCGAAACACCGATCTGCCGTTTGATATTTCTTTATTGTTACACCAACATATAAAAAGAATAATCGAACTAAGGTCTGAAAACAAATATTACAATAATAAATCATTGTATTACGTCTGACGATGTTTCACTCTTCTTTCTGAACAGCGACCGATGAGACGATGACTGTCGTATTGACGCCTCCGCGAAAATTGGGGAAGTTGATTTTGAGCAAACAACCATGAATTGATCGTTCAATCTTCAACTCCATTGACACTCCCCGGCAAAATACCGATCCAACCCTTTTTTCCATCACGACCAATACACGTTGACTTGGATGCCATTGCGAGAACCTGGGTCACACGGACAGAGCTGAAATGGAAAACAAACAGAAAAGCCAACACACCGCAAGCATACTCACAGCACAATCTCACACATCAATGACGACCTGCGCCTCCAGACAGAGACCACCTCTTGACATCTTGCAACACAATCGCCACTTGCTAGAATGACTCTTGCAGAATGCAGTGTGACCATAGCCCCACCTCACGATACTCTACGCACATCCTCGTATCTACTCACTACCAGTTACCACTGAAATCGCTTGTCACTCATTCTGCCTCAGTTCTAGTAGCGGTGACGCATGCGAGCCTCAGTCGTTTACACTCTTTCTCCCCGGCGTGTCGGACCGCAGCTAACAGTTATCTCCATGTGCATTTCATTCTCAGCAATAGCCTAGCCTCCCCGTATACGCCCCATCTGCTGTCCTTAACATCAATCAATTTATTCACGGACGTAGAAGACTCGAAACCACTTCAGAAGTAATCACGACGAAAATTTTAACAAAATTACGCAATAACAACAAGATACGAAAACAACAAGTAAACACAATTAATTCAAAATCACAAATTGATATGACACACCACACGTATATACAAACAGTACAAATAACCTCGCGGATCGTGTCTAAGTGCAATTCCTTTGAAGAATCTCAGGACTTACACCAGTACGCCTACAACCCTTCACAGGTTGACGATTGTAAGTTGTGGAATGTCCGGACACAAACAAGATTAACCAACAATTACGATAATTGGAACTCACACAACTATTTAATTCAAACATATGTACAATCACTACATCAAATGTTGTGGGTTCCGGCAGGACAAACTTCCTTTGAATAACTGTAGGACTTACAGTAGTACGCCTACATTCCTTCTCAGGTTGATGATCCAAATGGAAGTCGTCCGGACACAAACAGAATTACCAACAGCTAGATGACAGATGATATCAATTCAGTATATACAATATGAACATATGTACAAAATCACACACCAACACATTGCACTGCTTACTGATGCGCTACCCTTTGAAGAATTGTAGGACTTACAGCAGTACGCCTACAACCCTCTCAGGTTGACACTCTAGGTTGAAAAATCGTTGCAGAGTTCATTTTCTGACTTCATTCTATGAGCTATATCCTCAAATCTGAACGGCAACACGCTCATGTCATTGTATCGTAGAATATAGATGACCAACAAACACACGAAGTATCTGGTCAATCAAGCGTAGAAACAGAGTAATTTACACCAAAGATAATAGCATTCAAATAGTAACTTGAAATTAGAAATGCCTTTATTCGTGCAAGTCAATTTAACAATTACTCTCTCGTTTACACTTGGCTTATCCTCACTAAACTGACCATTGATATTCGTCCTTTCAAACGAACTGATACTAGCATAGTCATTGCACAAGATACTTGAGTTGATGGGCGTCCTCCTCATTGTGGATGACAACACCAACGACGACCGATTGATACCAGTTGATGAAGTTAGCGGTGGATCAAAAGCTGTTGTTGCTCGACTTTCAGAAAGTTGTCTACCTCCAAGACCACCACCACTGCTGTCTTTTACTATCAGCTCAGGCTTAGCACTAGCATCTGATGATAGGTGGGCTACATGCTGATCACTCACACTGACGGTCTCACAAGTATGCATGCTTTCTGCAACTGCACCTGCATTTATTTCTACTTCACGTTCAAGTTGTACAGAAACTTTGTTCAACTTAGCAGTAGTAGGCATATCTATCATCTCATCATGATCAACCAAAGACAAAGTAGCCGTTTAACTAACTCACTGGTTTCCTCTTCACTGTAATCTTCAATAAGTTCGTCAGTATAATTATTTCCGAAAACCATTACATTAGCAACCATATCTTTTAATATTTTACGAATATACTTATATTATTAGCATAAGACACTGCACTATTTTTGAGTTGAATTGATTATCTTCAGTCAACAGTTACCCATTCTCATATAATTTTCTAAAATTCATAATGTTAAAGCTATGTAGTATTTCTGTTAATATCTTTTATAATATGTTTAGACACGTCACTTTGCAATGTCAGATGTCTACTATATACAAGACTGTCATGATAATTTAGTACACTAAGTCCTGCCAACCGACCTTACCTTCAGTTCATACTACCTACATTGATCCCTAACTATATTGTTCTGCTGAATCTTGCTTAACTATTCACAAAACCTATTCTTTTTATTCTTTAAGGTTCTAACTTCTTGTAAAGTAATCCGTTCATTAGGACGCATGCATACATATATAATGTTCATAAAGATGTATGTGGAGACCTATTGGAAGCACTCATTAAGAAAGCTAGGGAGATGGAATATGGGGTACGAACATGTCTGGTACCAAGCAGTATATTTGCGGTAGCCATAATAATCATATTCTCAGAGCTTAACATCAAAAAAGGAGGGAGGGTGGCGTTAGCTGATCAGTAGATATGGTGGGGGTCACTAAGGTGAATCGCCCCATTCTGCAGGAACAGCAATATACAAATTAAAGGCTCGAGATATTTCTGATTTTTATGAGGGCTTAGATCTTTATCTTGAAAAAGATAATAATGAACGCCTTGACAGATCATGCTTCTACCTTTAAATATACACCATTTGCTCAGCCTATTGTTGAGATGCGACCATGTGCGATCTGCACAGATTTATGGGGCATCTTATAAATCAACTTGCTGTCCATTGTCGGATCTATAAATACCACTTCACAATGTCTTATCTCATTCATTTTCTAATAACGTCTTTACTTAATCCTCATTGTATCCCATTAAACCTAACATTTTATAGCTCTTTATGAATTTGATTCGACTTATTCTATTCCTATTCTCTGTGAGGTATGGTTGTGCACCAAATGCACAAAAAAGCATAAAATAAAAAAACAGACATAAGGAAAAAATGTATTAAAACCAAAAGTGGACATCATGATAGTACGAGATATACGTGTAGCATTATACATTGCAAATGAACGTTGTCAGCCTAGAGAGTTTCCTTTATTAATGCATTTATTAGTGATACTTGCACTTACCCATTTCATTACACTTTATTGATTCACCTTAGCACTTTTACTTTTCTAAAAACAGCTTTCAATCCCTTGTAAACGTTGTACTTACCTCAATATTGGTTGGTTATCGTATGCCGACAACCACGGGATGAAAACGAAACGAAGTCGATTTTCCCGCTCAACCTGGAGGACAATTGTACAATTCAATAACTATACAGCCTAGTTCAGACAATGTGTATTTATATATATCAAATATTTAACTGTTGAAACATTATTAACTTGTAGACAATCTACGATTTGATATTATATCATACTTGATCGTGCCTGTAAAAATGGCATGCATTTTCATGTAAATTTATATGTTTATATGAGAATATATATTATTATTATATTATTACAAATCTGCACTATCATGATCATTATCACAAATATTCAATTTACCGTCAAGTTCATCATTTTCAAACTCTTTAATAACAGAAGTAGACAATTTTGGTTCCTCCTCACAAATCCTTAAAGGTTTTATGTCTTCACTCTGACTAGTTATACTTTGTAAACTTTTGGAGTCAGAACTGCACTCTGAAGCAGCAACTCTATTCTGTGACACTCTATTCAACCATGGCTTACCAGTTGCAACTACAGACTTCCTGACCGCACAGTTATCGTCACACAATTCGGAGTCAGACCTGGAGTTTACATTTAGCTTATCACTGAACTTGCTCACTGGTTCACAGTTCACCTTTGTATGCACCTCTTGCAAACGTGTACAACACAACCGTGTTTGTCTTGCATCTTGCAACTTATCTGTTGAGGATGTACTACGAAACCTGTTACACTCACTAGGTCTATAGGCATTACTATACATCATGGAGCCTTCTCGATATCCACCCCTCTGAGGCCTACTCGTCATCAATGATTGCATTTTGCTCTCAGACTGCTCTAATCTAGGGGTGAGATGTAATAGACTGGCGAACTTGCTCGTAGATTGATTGACACTAGTATTTACCAGTTTCAGGATATCATCAAACTTTGGCTCGATACCCTCATCCTCCATACGGGAGCTTATCTTCACCCACTTCCTTTGCAGTCGAGTAGGTAGGCGTCTTGCTATTACTTCTAGTATAAAATTCGAGTTGAGGTCACTCATGCGATTCATCGAAATCATTCCATTCTTGTAAATTAGCAAATTATCTAAAAACTCAGTGAGTGCCTGGGAGTCATCCTGTAATTGACCACCATTACCCTTAACAGCCTCGAATAATTTCCCTGCAATCATCGAAGTTCTTCCAAACCTTTGGCGTAGTATGCTCATAGCCTCGTGGTAGCCCTCTTTTGGCTTCATAAACTTACAGCACTGTATAGCTCTTGCAGCATCTCCAGTGCAATATCTCACCAAATACGTCAATTTCAATTCATCACTTAATAGAAAACTGCTCAACATGATCTCAAACTCCTTTGCAAATTGTAAATAATCAGCCGGTCATGCTTAACATCAGACACATCGTTACAATTAACAGACAAGTCACAATGACTTACTTTCCTGTTTGCATCCAAGACACTCTGTCCCTTCTTTGACCCAGGCATTGTTGAACTTGACCCAATTCCGAAAATGTTCCAGATATTGCTTGTTCAAAGAGGACTTGACCGGCACCAGGAAAAATGAACGGCGACTATCCAAACTTTCACCAACTGTTTCAATCCGCCAGATCTGTTTCTATCGTCAGAAACTGTCAATCACGTCTCATAAACCGTTAATGCCCAGCTCTCGCTACGCTCGGGCCCACGCTGTTCTTCGAAGATTTCAGAAACGCTTAGTTATAACGGACGAAAAAAACCAAAACACCGATCTGCCGTTTGATATTTCTTTATTGTTACACCAACATATAAAAAATAAGTGAACTAAGGTCTGAAAACAAATATTACAATAATAAATCATTGTATTACTTCTGACGATGTTTCACTCTTCTTTCTGAACAGCGACCGATGAGACGATGACTGTCGTATTGATGCCTCCGCGAAAATTGGGGAAGTTGATTTTAAGCAAACAACCATGAATTGATCGTTCAATCTTCAACTCCATTGACAGTCCTTTTCAAGTTCACATTCTTTCTGTTTCTGGTATTTTGCTGCTCCTATTCATCTTCTGGTCGAGGTCGAACAACCCTGCGTCTAAACTCAAATGAGGATTAATTCCAAACCGTCTATCCCATAACCACTCAAATTCCATGAACGATCCAATTCTACCATTTGAAGACGCTGGCGAACATGCCGTAAATGAGTATTCATGATCTGAAATGAAGAAGCAACTGGTCTTCAAATAGTTTTCAACATTTTACTCAACTTACGAATACAGTCCGCCATGCAGACACAAATGGAGCAAATGGAGAATTCTGGAATCGACCTCGGCACCACTTGATGCAGTAAAACAACCCAACATGACCTTATCTAGTTTTCGCCTCCACGATCAAATTTCGCTCCTGTTATAAAACTACGATAAGACTACTGAAAAATGGAATAAATATATCACTGATCTCAACATAATACATCAATAATCTTTAAGCCAAGGGTGCTGTTCACAACAAAGTTATATAGGAGAATTGACTTCAAGCTTTATTTTTCCCAGATATTTGTATTACATTCATCTGATGTCTAGGTTTTTTGTTAATGCGAAGACAATATTTCCATATCTCTTTATGTGCTACACAAACAAACTTTATAGCAGACTGTTCCGACTGACTCTAATGACAGAAAGAACAACCAAACTGTAAATCCATTATACATCAAATTTTGTGTAATTTATATGATAACTTATCCATGCCTGTACAATAGGTATGTTCCTGCATAAACAGGAAGAAATATATATTATTATTTTGCAAGGTCTCTGCCTTCTATTTGGGTGAGGGAACAAACGCGCTACAAGGCATTTGCCAAGGTGTTGTTCACTCCGGATACATGGCGAATATACGATGTAAACTGTGAAACGTAGTCCAGTCGTCGTGATTCCCTAGGTGAAAACTTACCTGAAATTGTAAATGCAGTTGAAAATTAAACGATCGATTCATGATTGTTTGCTCAAACCAAACTCCATATTTTGGCAGAAGTCATCGATACTGCAGTCATCGTTCCATCATTCGATGTTCATTGGGGGACAGAGAAAAACCATCGGAAATTTTGTGTACACTAACCTAATGGTTGGCTCTGTATTTGTGCAAGAATAAACGGTTCTTGTGTCACCGATTTGTGTTCTGGTTTTTTGCGTTGGTTAATATGCATTGTTCCTAAAAGTCTTCCAAGGACAGCGTGAGATCCAGTGTAGTAAGACCTGGACATTGATAATGCTCGATAGTTTTCAAAATAGACTTGGTTTGGTGTGATGACTGACAATTTCTGTTACTGTATCACTTAAACGCGCGCTATAGTTTTTTTAATTTTTGTTATATGTCAATTAAAATATTTACAATGATGAAAAAGTCGATTTGGAGCTTCTCGTCAAAACCTTCAACGAAGCACATTCATTAATAAAATTCACTTAAGAACGTAAACCAACCATGGCATTTCTATTCCTACTTAACAGAAGACAAGATTGCACGATCCAAAGATCAATATATAGCAAGCAAACACGGACAGGACAGCTCACCAGCTTCCAGAGTTCGTACCACTTATCCAAAAGCAAAACTTGGTAAGTACACTTAGATCAAGGATTGGAAAAATCTGTTTCATGGCACTTGTGCACGTGTTTTCGCTGATATTCATTTTTCGGGTTCTACTATATTATTACCAACAATAATTGGCCAAAACTCTAAAGTGTGTTTTCAAAGGAATATCAGTAACTTCTGAAATTGCTTGGGATGTCCTAGTAACTCTTTACTATCCCTAACTCAGTTGTTATTAGAAGTTCACCTAATTTTAACGGTTCCAGAATAATGCTAACCCCTTTAGTATAGGTGGAAGATATCCCGTAAGGAAAAACAGAGATTTCTAACCCAATCTGCATCATAAAAGACATGCAGCTACGAACAAACGATTTCAGGAAGAAATGAGGTCTACTTCACCTGGTACCAGGAACTATCTCACATCCTAAAAAAGGACTGAGGGACCTCACTTTTATGAAACTCTTTAAGCTCAGGACTCCTGCCTCCGACGGAGCATCAAAGTCTGTGGGAAACGATCCTACCAGCGTGCGTTAGCGGCAACCGTCGCCGGTGGCACTAGCCGCCTACTTTACATCCATGATGTGATCAGTCAGACTGGATATTTAGTCGATACAGGCGCCGAAGTCAGTGTCCTTCCTGCCACAGCAGCAGATCGACAGAAGGAACCTACCTTCAACTTACAGGCTGCAAATGGAAAACCAAACCACAACATTTCGTAGGAAATACGACTATCTGAACGCAGGTTTACGCAAACCTATTCGGTGAATTTTCCTTCTTGCTGACCTTACAATGCCCATCGTTGGCACGGACCTACTTAATCATCATGATTTACTCGTAGACGTCCGCTGAAAACGACTGGTTGACAATACTACTAGTCTGTCTATCAAAGGCATCACTTACACAGGCCCCAGCTTGTCACTCGTTAAGATAAAGGCAATCATTGATCCAACTTTTCAACTGATCGTTGACAAATATCCGAAACTTAATTGCCCGTTGAACGACCATACGAAATATAGGTACTGATAATGATTACTGCTAACAGATTTATCACGAGAACGAGAATGTACTCCATATTGACGACAATATACCTCAGGGGCGGACATATCTTCTAAACGCACTACTCAATACCACACGTGACCCTAATCTCCCCAACTCTGTAGCTCACAAAATTCTATAAAGTTAGTAGTGACTATTAACAAGTAGAATGTCTATTTGGGGTACAGAGAATACATTTATTAGTGATTCGACACAAAATACAAAGTCAACGGTACTGGAAACCACTTTCTTCAGCAACGAATCCCACGAGGTCACTGGGACTACAGATTATCTAAAAAAGAAAACAAGGGTTCACAGGATGTATACATGAATATAACCACCAATATAATATTAACGAGATAGCACAGTAAGAATTAATGAAAGTTTATATCGATGTGCGATTACATCAGTCACTATTTTTGACACAAGTGGATATTTAGACGAAGTAATAAGAAGACGTAATTTGTATGAGTCGTGTAGTGCTGTATTTGTGCAACACATTTTGGACAATCTGGTCACGCATGGGCTTGTTATAGGAATACATATGAGATTTATAAAGTTAAAAGTCTGGAAAAAAAATTTAGGTGGAATTAAAACCACATATTGGAGGTCAAAATAACAATGAAGATCACTAAACAAATTATCAGAGGTACTAGTACATCTACCCTGACTAGTATCAAAACGAAGTTTAACAAAGAAGGTTTCGTGCGATGACGAATAGTCTTGGAATTCACAAAAGTGGTTTAAACTTCCCAATCACACTTCGGCTTCCACAAACTTTAGGATGCAATCCAAACACGTTTTACAGATAGGTTTAAAAAATGTGCAAACGTCAGTTTTATGTCCTGTCCCCATAATGTTTCGAAATAGAGAAGCTGGGACCCCATTAATAACTTCTGAAGATTCTGTTGCTTCTGGAGGCATTTAGGAATATGATGCGTAGCCCTTACTTGCAGAAACCGATGAGCCTTCCCTAAATGGATACAGCAATTACTACTAAACCTTACGTCCACAACTTTAAGAGATGTCGGACACTAATTCTACGTGGTTTTAAAATAATTTTGTGAATTAACTTCGAACAAGCGCGAATAATGTGGCGTCAGGACAATAACAAAAGTCGGAAGTTTATGAAACCAAACTCACTAATAGGACAAAATGACACGCACGTCAGATGTCTTTACGTGCCTGATCACGAGGATGGTATTGAAATCCACCAAGTTACTAAAATGTTGCAGTATGCATTTAACTCATTTAAGAATTTTGGCAGAAAACACTGAATGTTGTAAGTGCTCGTAAAACATATTACAGTTTCTTCCCATTTGTGAACACTAATTTTCGCTTGTATTTTTGCATTCCATTGACTTTCAGCTATCAAAACACCACAAAAAAGTGCGGAAGGATGCAAAATTTGATATCAACCATATTCGGTTCCTGCAGCAGTAATAGGTACTGCACAAATGCTGATAGGGAAATTTGAGACCGAGTACAAGTTTCCGCCAATCTGCGAAGAAATCGTCGAAATGTACGCGAACCTTACTCGGCATGCCAAAAATCACTGCATGAACCATGTATTTAAGCGTCCTATCACACAAGCAATCAGTAAATGCTCAAGAACAATATCAAACAACAATTTTCATATAAATTCATCCAGCAAGAGCAAAATAAGCACCAACTCGAATCAACGAAACCGCGCAAATGCCGTCAAGGTTAAGCCAGAGGCGCCACTTCAAATAGGGGATATGCCTTATCAACGCCCCCGGAGAGCTAACGGCCTAAGTAAAAATTCCAAAAGTCCGAAAGCCCTAATGATAGTCGTTTTGGAATATCTTTTGGTGCCATTGGAATTTAGCTATACGCTTTAACCAAGTCGATTTTAGAGAATATAAATTTATTCTCATAGTACAGTGCATGAGGGACGCCAGTTTACAGGCATCATCAAATTGTTACAGAAATAGGACCATATTATTCAGTCACCATTTACAGTCGATAGCAAAATATGTTTTACATATACGCTGGAGATTATACATGCACTTGATAAATATTAATCCCAATATTATAAAACAGCCTTTTCACTTATGTAAAACCATTTCTGTGCACAGTTGGAAATATCTGCCAGATTGTCAGTAAGTGCAACACATCAGGAAATACAGAAGTTGCGCCAGCTAATGTACATTCATGTACATTTATGTTTATATGAAAATAAAATTATTATTATTATTATTATGTTGCAGTCAAGTCGTGTATGTTTTGCCGTTCACTAGCCGTTAATCACCGGCGGGTCGTCAATCGTTGCTACCCTTTGACGGTATCATATGCAGTGGGGATGCCCATGGGCTATTTGATGGTCGATAATGCTGAGGGTGAGCATATAGTAGAACTCATTTCTAGCGATTCTCAGTTTGTCAGGAAAAAGTCGTTGCGCTTTAGATGCCATGGGTTGTCCTGAGGTTATGATGTGGTGCATAACATTGCTGATTATGCACGGTAGGTCGTTCAACGGGCAATTAAGTTTCGGATATTTGTCAACGATCAGTTGAAAAGTTGGATCAATGATTGCCTTTATCTTAACGAGTGACAAGCTGGGGCCTGTGTAAGTGATGCCTTCGATAGACAGACTAGTAGTATTGTCAACCAGTCGTTTTCAGCGGACGTCTACGAGTAAATCATGATGATTAAGTAGGTCCGTGCCAACGATGGGCATTGTAAGGTCAGCAAGAAGGAAAATTCACCGAATAGGTTTGCGTAAACCTGCGTTCAGATAGTCGTATTTCCTACGAAATGTTGTGGTTTGGTTTTCCATTTGCAGCCTGTAAGTTGAAGGTAGGTTCCTTCTGTCGATCTGCTGCTGTGGCAGGAAGGACACTGACTTCGGCGCCTGTATCGACTAAATATCCAGTCTGACTGATCACATCATGGATGTAAAGTAGGCGGCTAGTGCCACCGGCGACGGTTGCCGCTAACGCACGCTGGTAGGATCGTTTCCCACAGACTTTGATGCTCCGTCGGAGGCAGGAGTCCTGAGCTTAAAGAGTTTCATAAAAGTGAGATCCCTCAGTCCTTTTTTAGGATGTGAGATAGTTCCTGGTACCAGGTGAAGTAGACCTCATTTCTTCCTGAAATCGTTTGTTCGTAGCTGCATGTCTTTTATGATACAGATTGGGTTAGAAATCTCTGTTTTTCCTTACGGGATATCTTCCACCTATACTAAAGGGGTTAGCATTATTCTGGAACTGTTAAAATTAGGTGAACTTCTAATAACAACTGAGTTAGGGATAGTAAAGAGTTACTAGGACATCCCAAGCAATTTCAGAAGTTACTGATATTCCTTTGAAAACACACTTTAGAGTTTTGGCCAATTATTGTTGGTAATAATATAGTAGAACCCGAAAAATGAATATCAGCGAAAACATGTGCACAAGTGCCATGAAACAGATTTTTCCAATCCTTGATCTAAGTGTACTTACCAAGTTTTGCTTTTGGATAAGTGGTACGAACTCTGGAAGCTGGTGAGCTGTCCTGTCCGTGTTTGCTTGCTATATATTGATCTTTGGATCGTGCAATCTTGTCTTCTGTTAAGTAGGAATAGAAATGCCATGGTTGGTTTACGTTCTTAAGTGAATTTTATTAATGAATGTGCTTCGTTGAAGGTTTTGACGAGAAGCTCCAAATCGACTTTTTCATCATTGTAAATATTTTAATTGACATATAACAAAAATTAAAAAAACTATAGCGCGCGTTTAAGCGATACAGTAACAGAAATTGTCAGTCATCACACCAAACCAAGTCTATTTTGAAAACTATCGAGCATTGTCAATGTCCAGGTCTTACTACACTGGATCTCACGCTGTCCTTGGAAGACTTTTAGGAACAATGCGTATTAACCAACGCAAAAAACCAGAACACAAATCGGTGACACAAGAACCGTTTATTCTTGCACAAATACAGAGCCAACCATTAGGTTAGTGTACACAAAATTTCCGATGGTTTTTCTCTGTCCCCCAATGAACATCGAACGATGGAACGATGACTGCAGTATCGATGACTTCTGCCAAAATATGGAGTTTGGTTTGAGCAAACAATCATGAATCGATCGTTTAATTTTCAACTACATTGACAAGCGTCGTGGAAAGTTTTAGCAGACAGGCAAGTGAGAATTCACATGTGTCTGTCAGAAAATAAGAGGTTCATTAATTGCCGTGGAATCACCACTGTGGCGCCAATTACTCTTGTCTCCTTTGAGACACGTTTACTACTCATTTGGCGGATAATATCCTGGTGAAATACTCAGCTGAATCCTGCTTTTGCTGTTTTCAGTTTGTCCAGTAATAAGGCCATTGGACTAAATAAAACTATGGAATCTTATATCTTTGTAGTGTGTTTAACTCTTGGACCAGCCTTAGGAGTTTTCCAGTTGATTTACGTTACATCTGGAAGTTCCTTTGGTACTTTCCGGAACCCTTCGGTCGGCAACAGCGGAGACTCAACGAAACCTGTTGAAAAGTGGTCATTCGTCTTGTTGCTCACATACCCGAGTGTCTCCCTATTTACATGTAGCCTCACAGGGGTATACGCCAAACTATCATAGGTCTTCATGAATGCATGCAGAGAATCGGCTGGTTTGGCCCAGAGTTAGTGAAAACCAGCAAAGGTTGTCACATAGAGCAGAAGCCAGGAGTCACTTTGTTCTTTTTGAGAGTCAAGACCTGAGTTGTATTGACTGTCTGTAGTGAGATGGAGAATTTTCGTCGTCCCTGCTTAGCCTTTGTTGAGGTACGATAAAGAACGCAACTCCTGTATAAGCCCAGTAGCCTCCAACAGTTGTATCCTCCACATATTCAAACGATTGTGCAGGAAACGTTTCCCGGCGGCCTCTACACGTGGAGGGATCACAGGTTTCCTTGTTGCTTGCTCTTGAATGCATGCACCTCTTTGAAGGTCTCCTGAACTTCCAGAGACGCCAGCGTACCTGTCTTGTTGACCTGGTTAGTCTTGTTCTGCTTCTCGAGCCGAGAAGTCTGCAGCGCTATCCACCTCGATTGCCCTATGTTAACTGCATTTGTACCATTTGTTCCGTCAATGATCTGAGGGCGAATACATGGCACGTCCCCTATTTGAAAAGGTGCCACCTGCTCCACCTTGAGGTCATTTGTGCGGTTTAGTTGATTTAAGTAGGGGCTAGTAGTCCGGGCAGATGCGGTTTACGTGATTTTGGTGCCTATTTTGATCTTGCTGGATGTTATTATGTGAAAACTGTTGCTTGATATTGTTCTTAGGCACCGACATGTTGTTTTTGCGACAGGATGCTTAAATATACAGTTCATGCAATGATTATTTGATATACCGAGTAAGCTTCACGAACAGTTTGACGAACAGCTATTGAAAAGTCTCTTTTCAGCTAGCCGGCATCCTGCGCTTGGTTGTAAATTCTTCGATCAGCTGTTTTGCGGTATCTATTTATGTTGCAGGAACAAAGAATATAGTTGATGTCGAATTCGTGCTTCTGCTCCTTTTTGTGTTTTGGTTGCTAAAAGTCAATGGAATCTATAGTTATCAATTATCAGCTTTGTGTCAGGTATATCAGTAGTAAGCCAAGTTTCAGTTACCAGAATCAGTGTTGGCGGCTCCATGTATACCAAGCTGCGAAGGGAAGTTGTTTTGTTAAGGCGAGATCGGGCATTTAAGAGCATAATTTTCAGAAAACCAGGGTTGTTGGGATAGTTAGTAGGTTTTCTTGTTACTATCCCTAACTCCTGGTTGCCTATGTTATGTTCGGAGGGATCCTCATATGAGACATTGTCAGCGTGTTTACTATTCCCTGGACAAATTGTGCTGCGAGGGGGGCTATTGTTTGCTGCAGCCGAAAATAATCCTGTTGTATATAATCGTTTCTGGTCTCATTACGTGTGTATCTAGGATCATTTCTCTGCATAAAATAGTCTGTTTTACTGTTCACATTGTAATTTACAGGGCCATAGTAACCTGTTTTTAGGTTATTTTGAGGATAGTGCGTGCTAGGTCTTACGTAGTTGTACATTAGCTGACTCATCTCGTGAGTGTACCTAGAAGGACCAGGGGCCAATCTATACCCGTTATGCCGAGGGTTCGAGTATAAATTTCCGTTGATATGGTACCTAGTGGTGTCCCGTCTAGTGGCCCATGTGTTTTCATTATTGATTATGGGTCCCGTCCTCAGGTTATATGTGCCTACAGGCATTTTAAAACCTCGGCTATTGCGGAAATCGTGGGTATCACTCTGCTGTTTGATCATCTCGGTGCCCCTTGCATATCTGCTGGTGTGTGATTTTGTGTGGGTGGAGCCATTTTTGCCGTTAGTTCTCACCTTGTGCAGTCTGTCGTCCTCAATTCGTTTACTACTCTTAGTTCGATGAGGAGCTCTTCCATTCACGTCTTCCGTCTCCTTTATGGGACCTGCCGCTATGCGTGCATAGTTATTTTTTAGGCTTATATGCTGCTTGTTGGGCTTGTCACAAGGGAGGTATATGGACGCATGAGGAGAAACCTTGGTTTTAGGGGACTTCTTTACGGCTTTTACAGTGGGATTATCTTGTTTGGCCCTGGGTGCAGTGTGATCTGCCGATATTTGCAGGTTATCGGTAGTAGGAGCATCTACATCTACTTCATGGGTGTGGTCAGTAGATTTACTAGGAGTGTTCTCATGAACTTCGAGACCAATTACAGCGTTGCTGCTCTTTTTGGGTTTCCCTTTGCCTTCTTGTGTCGTTTGTTCACCTACTACTGTGCAAGTGTCACTTTGTGCTATAGTGTTCTTTGACACTTCGAGGCTGACGCTATTCACGATTTGTGGTATAATCGTGTTTGTATCTATGGTGTTCTTAGCTACTTGTCGTTGGTTGGGGGTTTTGTCCGGGACTATTTTAATATTTTTGAATTTTGTAGTGGAAGCCAAAATATCCTCAGATTTCCTGAATTGTTCGGCTATAATACAGCTGTTAAACCTGAAAAGTATGGGACATGTGCGGTTTGTCTCTTTTTTATTTAGTCTAATACACTGACAGGGTGTGCTTAGAAGGTTGGCAGCTCTTAACAAGGAGTGCTGAACCGATTTTATGGGCTCTTTGTCAGGTATGTTGTACACTATGGCGTTCTGTTTAGAAGCAAGTCTCTTAACAACTTCGCTCGACAAATAGTCCATAACGTTTTCTAGCTCCTTAGCATGTTCCAATTCAGCATCGGTTGGTTTAGTCCTGAGCTTAAAGAGTTTTAGGAAAGTGAGATCTCCCAGTTCTCTTTTAAGATGGAGGATTGTTTCTGGTACCAGGTCAAGTTCATTTAGTTTCGTCCTGAGTTCATTTATTTGTAGCTGCATGTCATTTATGATGCAGGCTAAGTTAGCAAACTCTCCCTTTTGTGACAGGATATCTTCCACCTGAATTACAGGGTTAGCATTATGTTGGAACCGTTTATATTGGGTGAACTACTAACTAATTATTGTATTATTGTAATATTTGTTCACAGACCTTAGTAGAAATATTTTTTATATGTTGGTGTTACAATAAAGAATTCTCAAGCGGCCAATCGGTGTTTTGGTTTTCGCGTCCGTTATAACTAAGCGTTTCTGAAAACTTCAAGGAACAGCGTGAGCCCGAGCGTAGCGAGAGCTGGGCATTAACGGTTTACGAGACGTGACTGACAGTTTCTCACGGTACAACGTCAGTTTTCAAACGGTTTTGGACAGTTGGCACGACTTTGGATGGTAACCGTTCATCTTTCCTGGTGCCGGTCAAGTCCTCTTTGAACAAGCAATATCTGGAACTTTTTCGGAATTGGGTCAAGTTCAACAATGCCTGGGCCAAAGAAGGAACAGAGTGTCTTGGATGCAAACAGGAAAGTAAGTCATGGTGACTTGTCTGTTAATTGTAACGATGTGTCTGATGTTAAGCATGACATGGTTGATGTTACTGTTTCACCGTCCAGGGATAATAGGAACATCAAACTTCCTAAATTTGAACCACGGTGTTTCGAAGGAAAGCCGGATGATTATTTACAATTTGTAAAGGAGTTTGAGATCATGTTGAGTAGTTTTCTATAAACTGATGAAATGAAATTGATGTATTTGATGAGGCATTGAACTGGAGATGCTGCAAGAGCTATACAGTGCTGTAAGTTTATGAAGCCAAAAGAGGGCTACGATGAGGCTATGAGCATATTACGTCAAAGGTTTGGAAGACCTTCGATGATTGCAGGGAAATTATTCGAGGCTGTTAAGAGTAATGGTGGTCAATTACAGGATGACTCCCAGGCACTCACTGAGTTTTTAGATAATTTGCTAATTTACAAGAATGGAATGATTTCGATGAATCGCATGAGTGACCTCAACTCGAGTTTTATACTAGAAGTAATAGCAAGACGCCTACCTACTCGACTGCAAAGGAAGTGGGTGAAGATAAGCTCCCGTATGGAGGATGAGGGTATCGAGCCAAAGTTTGATGATATCCTGAAACTGGTAAAAGATAGCGTCAATCAATCTATGAGCAAGTTTGCCAGTCTATTACATCTCACCCCTAGATTAGAGCAGTCTGAGGGTAAAACGCAATCATTGATGACGAGTAGGCCTCAGAGGGGTGGATATCGAGGAGGCTCCATGATGTATAGTAATGCATATAGACCTAGTGAGTGTAACAGGTTTCGTAGTACATCCTCAACAGATAAGTTGCAAGATGCAAGACAAACACGGTTGTGTTGTACACGTTTGCAAGAGGTGCATACAAAGGTGAACTGTGAACCAGTGAGCAAGTTCAGTGATAAGCTAAATGTAAACTCCAGGTCTGACTCCGAATTGTGTGACGATAACTGTGCGGTCAGGAAGTCTGTAGTTGCAACTGGTAAGCCATGGTTGAATAGAGTGTCACAGAATAGAGTTACTGCTTCAGAGTGCAGTTCTGACTCCAAAAGTTTACAAAGTATAACTAGTCAGAGTGAAGACATAAAACCTTTAAGGATTTGTGAGGAGGAACCAAAATTGTCTACTTCTGTTATTAAAGAGTTTGAAAATGATGAACTTGACGGTAAATTGAATATTTGTGATAATGATCATGATAGTGCAGATTTGTCTTTGGTTGATCATGATGAGATGATAGATATGCCTACTACTGCTAAGTTGAACAAAGTTTCTGTACAACTTGAACGTGAAGTAGAAATAAATGCAGGTGCAGTTGCAGAAAGCATGCATACTTGTGAGACCGTCAGTGTGATTGATCAGCATGTAGCCCACCTATCATCAGATGCTAGTGCTAAGCCTGAGCTGATAGTAAAAGACAGCAGTGGTGGTGGTCTTGGAGGTAGACAACTTTCTGAAAGTCGAGCAACAACAGCTTTTGATCCACCGCTAACTTCATCAACTGGTATCAATCGGTCGTCGTTGGTGTTGTCATCCACAATGAGGAGGACGCCCATCAACTCAAGTATCTTGTGCAATGACTATGCTAGTATCAGTTCGTTTGAAAGGACGAATATCAATGGTCAGTTTAGTGAGGATAAGCCAAGTGTAAACGAGAGAGTAATTGTTAAATTGACTTGCACGAATAAAGGCATTTCTAGTTTCAAGTTACTATTTGAATGCTATTATCTTTGGTGTAAATTACTCTGTTTCTACGCTTGATTGACCAGATACTTCGTGTGTTTGTTGGTCATCTATATTCTACGATACAATGACATGAGCGTGTTGCCGTTCAGATTTGAGGATATAGCTCATAGAATGAAGTCAGAAAATGAACTCTGCAACGATTTTTCAACCTAGAGTGTCAACCTGAGAGGGGTTGTAGGCGTACTGCTGTAAGTCCTACAATTCTTCAAAGGGTAGCGCATCAATGAACAGTCCAATGTGTTGGTGTGTGATTTTGTACATATGTTCATATTGTATATACTGAATTGATATCATCTGTCATCTAGCTGTTGGTAATTCTGTTTGTGTCCGGACGACTTCCATTTGGATCATCAACCTGAGAAGGAATGTAGGCGTACTGCTGTAAGTCCTACAGTTATTCAAGGGTAGTTCGTCGAGGCAGAATCCACAACATTTGATGTAGTGATTGTACATATGTTTGTGTTAAATAATTGTGTGACTTCCAATTATTGTAATTGTTGGGTAATCTTGTTTGTGTCCGGACATTCCACAACTTACAATCGTCAACGTGAGAGGAGTTGTAGGCGTACTGGTGTAAGTCCTGAGATTCTTCAAAGGAATTCCATCGAGATACGATCGGCGAGGTTATGCGTACTGTTTGTATATACGTGTGGTGTGTCATATCAATTTGTGATTTTGAATTAATTGTGTTTACTTGTTGTTTTCGTATCTTGTTGTTATTGCGTAATTTTGTTAAAATTTTCGTCGTGATTACTTCTGAAGTTGTTTCTTGTCTTCTACATCCGTGAATGAATTGATTGATGTTAAGGACAGCAGATGGGGCGTATACGCCGGGGAGGCTAGGCTATTGCTGAGAATGAAATGCACATGGAGATAACTGTTAGCTGCGGTCCGACACGCCGGGGAGAAAGAGTGTAAACGACTGAGGCTCGCATGCGTCACCGCTACTAGAACTGAGGCAGAATGAGTGACAAGCGATTTCAGTGGTAACTGGTAGTGAGTAGATACGAGGATGTGCGTAGAGTATCGTGAGGTGGGGCTATGGTCACATTGCATTCTGCAAGAGTCATTCTAGCAAGCGGCGATTGTGTTGCAAGATGTCAAGAGGAGGTCTCTGTCTGGAGGCGCAGGTCGTCATTGATGTGTGAGATTGTGCTGTGGGTATGCTTGCGGTGTGTTGGCTTTTCTGTTTGTTTTCGATTTCAGCTCTGTCCGTGTGACCCAGGTTCTCGCAATGGCATCCAAGTCAACGTGTATTGGTCGTGATGGAAAAAAGGGTTGGATCCGTATTTTGCCGGGGAGTGTCAATGGAGTTGAAGATTGAACGATCAATTCATGGTTGTTTGCTCAAAACCAACTTCCCCAATTTTCGCGGAGGCATCAATACGACAGTCATCGTCTCATCGGTCGCTGTTCAGAAAGAAGTCAGCAATAAACCATCAGAAGTAATCTTATGATTTATTATTGTAATATTTGTTCACAGACCTTAGTAGAAATATTTTTTATATGTTGGTGTAACAATAAAGAAATATCAAACGGCAGATCGGTGTTTCGGATTTTTCGTCCGTTATTACTAAGCGTTTCTGAGAAACTTCAAGGAACAGCGTGAGTCCGAGCGTAGCAAGAGCTGGACATTGTCAGTCTGTGAGCTTT